TCAGGGGCCAGAGGTCAGGGAGGGTGATCAGGGGCCAGAGGTCAGGGAGGGTGGTCAGGGGACACAGGTCAGGGAGGGTTGTCAGGGGCCAGAGGTCAGGGAGGGTGGTCAGGAGCCAGAGGACAAGGAGGGTGGGGTCACAGGGGTGTCGCAGGGCAGTCACCTGCTTCTTGGCCGCCGCATCGCTGTAGCACTTGTGCTGGATGTAGGCTGCGCCCAGCACCTGCAGGTTGGGGTCTGAGGCCATGAGGTACTTCACTGCCGATGGCAAGTCAATGTCGTCGAAGCTGCAGAGACAAGGGTCCAGGGTCAGGCTGAGCTGGGGACGGCGGGGTTGAGGCAGCCGCCCCCTCCCGGCCAGGCCCGCTCACCCGCTGCTGAGCCGCTGGAGAGCGCGCTGGCCGCCGTAGCTGTCCAGCCCGCGCACGTCGGGCAGGTGGCCCGCGTCGCCCAGGCTGAGGCTGAGGCTGCGCACGGACGGCGCTCGGGCCACGGGCTCCAGGACGCCGGGCACGGCGCCCGCCCCCACGCGGCTGCGGTGGCTGCTCTGGAACCGCTGCAGCGTCCGCATGGCCGGGGCGCGGATAGTCCGGCTGGGCGGGCCGTCGGCGGCCTCGGGCCAGTCCAGGCCCCCTGCCCGCCCGGAGCTGGCGCTGGCGCTGGCGCTGGCCTGGCGCTCATAGGCGAAGGCCCTGTAGGCGGCGGCGGCGGCGGGCTCCAGCTGCTCCGACAGCACGCTGCAGTGGTCGTCCAGGCCCCCGGGCCCCAGCCGCAGCGAGCGGAGGGACAAGGTGTCGTAGTCCACCCGGCCGCCCCCCCCACCACGCTCGTGGTAGGACATGGGCCGAGGGGGCATGGGTGCGGCGGGCAGGGCTCCCCCGTACCCCACGGCCCCAAAGGCGCTGCCCCCGTTGTGGGCAGAGCTCAGCCTCCGACTGCAGCTCAGGTCCACGGCCGAGCGGGAGGACCAGGTGGCCGGGCTATAGGCGGGCTTGGCGATGGGCCGGAAGGTCTGTGGGCGGGATGGGGATGGCCGTGAGTGGGGGCCGGGCTCTCCCTGACCCTGGGGACCGCAGCCGCCCCCAGAGCCTCCCCCATGTGACCGCAGAGCCCAGACTCTCCAGGCTGGCGCGGGTGTCACTCACCGAGGTGCTGTCCCCACTCAGGCCCTGGGAGCGGGAGCTGAAGCCGGCCTGCAGGGTGTGGTACTGGCCCCGGGATGCGCCTGTGGACAAGGGCTGTGGTAGCTTGGCCCGGCTCACGGCCTCCGGCCTCTCCTCCTGCACCCTGGGACCCACTGGGGGGTGTTGATGGGGGTGTCTTGACTCTGGTTCCTGCCATCTGTCTCCACTGACGCCAGCCCTGGTGGTCCCTCTCCCACAGCCCCACTCACCTCCAGCTGTGCTGGGGGACAGACATGCTCACCCCATGACCTCCCAGTCCCCTGGGCAGTGAGCCCGGGACTCCTGCATCAGCTCTCCAATCTGCAGGGCTCAGGGCCTGGCCCCCTCCTCCAGGCAGCCACACTGACCTCCTGCAAGCCGGTCCTGGGCTCTGGTCAATAGGGGTGAGGCTTCGCTCACACAGTCTCCCTGGACCAGTCTGGCCTGAGGTGCATTCCCCTGTCCCACCTGGCAGAGCCACACCCGCCCCGTCCGACACACTGACTGAGGGCACTGGCGCCAGCCCGACTCCACAGCGAGTGGACAGACCGGTGGGTGGGTGGGTGGGTGGCGGAGGGAGGGTGGAGAGACAGGAGACAGACCCATGTGAGGATGGACAGACAGACTGAGGGTGATGGCATAGCTAAGCCTGGAGGATGGAGGGTGGGAAGGATGGTGAGCAGGCAGCTGGGTAGCAGACGGCGGGGGGCGGGGGGGGGGGCAGACAGATGGGTGGGGTGTGGGTGGTCAGATGGGTGGGTGGGTAGATGATGGGGACATAGGCAGAGCAGAGAGACAGACCAGGCTGGGTTGGTGCCTGGGTGATGCGAGGAGCAGGGACTTTTGACCGGAAGGTGCTGCCTGGGGGGTCAGCCTCTGCCAGGGTCCCTGCTGGGGCCACACCTGTGGGTGAAGAGTCTCATCTGCCCAGAGGACTCAGGGTGGTGAAGGGAGGGCCTGTGCCTTCCGGATTGTCCAGACCCGCCCTGGTTAATGAGGCTTCTAGCTATTAACTCTTTGACGCTAGTGAGGCTCAGCCTGGGGGGGGGGCACGCCCCCACCCCAAATTATAATCTTCCTGCGCCTAATTGGCAGGGCAGCCAGGGTGTTAATTAACTGCTCCCTGTGCCATCCTCCGCCCTCTGACCCCTGGGCACCAACTAGGCCACCACTGAGGATGAGGCTGGGAGGACAGGGGAGGAAGGACCTGGGAGTCCAGGCTGCCTGGTGGCCCCTATGCTGTGGACCGGGGTCTCCGGCCCGCACATCCTGGGAGGTTCATCTTACTGTCTAACTGGTCCCAGTTGCTGTGGCTCAGTGAGGAGGACATGGCATTAGCATTCATGCAGGCACACACACTCACATCACACGGATGCACACACATCCATGGGCACACATCACACATCACACGGGACACACACACATCACACGGGACACACACATCCATGGACATACTCACATCACATGGGATGGACACACATCCATGGACACACTCACATCACACGGATGCACACACATCCATGGACACACTCACATCACACGGATGCACACATATCCATGGACACACTCATATCATATGGGAAGGACACACATCCATGGACACACGTTCACAGGGTACACACACACACACACACACACACACACACACACACACACATGGGTGGAACCAGGATTCCTGCACAGGGCAGGCTGCCTGGCACCGGGGCCCCCCACCCTCTGTTCTCATGGAGAGTATCTGGGTCACTCCAGGGGCCTCCCCTGCAATCCCGCAGGGGCCCTGCTCAGACCAGCAGGCGATGGCTCCCGTCCAGGATTCCCAGACCTGCTGGGAATGTTTCTGCTTCTGTTTGTCTGCTCCTTCCCGTGGGGCATGGGGGTGGGGAGGGGGCTGGAGTCTCTCTCCTGGGGCTGCCCTGTGTCTGCCTGTGTCTGGGACCATGTGTGAGCCTGTCATGGGGAAGGGACGTGTGTACATTCTGGGTTTGCCCCGAGATGGGCCTGGCTGGCTCGCCATGTGCTGCTCTTCCTGTGGGCCGGCCCCCCAGGGGCTCAGGGCTGAGGGCAGTTGGGCCCCCCCCAGGCTCGGCGGGAGGATCCGGGGTCCCAGTAGGTGCTGAGAGGCCCCACCCATGGCTTCTCCCACGCCCGCCAGGGCGGGGCGGGTGACTCAGGGCAGGCCTCAGTGAGTCAGGGAGCTGAACCCTGAGCCAGCCCCATGCAGGCCTCTGGCCCTGGCACCACCCCGCCCGCCGCCCGCCTGCCGCAGCGGCCTCTGCGCCTCCACCGCCCGGAGCCCACCCTGCCGGCCCCCGCCTACCTCGGGCCGCCCTGGTGACCCCGTCGGGCTCGGTGGTCCCGTTGTGCCGGGGCTGCTGGCCCAGCTGCAGGAGGCGGGCGCGGACCTGCTCCTGAACGCGGGCGGCTCGCAGGCGCTCGGCCTCCGGACCCTCGGCGCCCCGGCGGTCCAGCTGCAGGTCCGAGGGCAGCGCCAGGGAGCACACCCCGGCCTCGGGCTGCAGGGCCGACAGCAGGAAGTTACCGTCCTGCATGGCGGCGGGCGCGGCGCTGGGTCTGCCAGGCCTGGGCCGCCTCGGCCGCCTCCAGCCTGAACTGTCTTCAGTCTCGTCCCGGGCCGCCCTGTCCCTGAAGTCCCCTCCCCGCTGGCCTCACCCAGAGCCGCGGGAGACAGGTGCCCGCCCAGCCCAGCTCGCAGGGGGCGGGGACACCTGGCCAGGTGGGAGGGAGGGGCCGCGCCTGCTTCGGGCGGAATTCGGGCGGAAGAACCGGCCTCTGGTGGCCCCGGTCCCGGCCTGGCCGCCCCTCCTCCAGCCCATCCCGGGCCGGGCCCAGATTTGTTCCCTCCGTGAAGGCCCCCCAGGCCTGGGGTGGCGTGGGCTCACTGGGCCCCACTGTGCCATGGCCCGCCGCCTCCAGGAGCCTGTGGGGCACTGTCCCTCCCTGGGGGTGGGGGTGGGCCTAGGCAGGGGTTGGCGTTAAGAGTCACCATTAGGGCCAGGGTCAGTGCTGAGGGTCGGGCTGAGGATAAAGGGCTTAAGAGGGGCTTTAGGGTGGGAGGGGCCTGGGAGCCTGGTTGCCATCCTTGGCGCCTGGGAGGCCCCGGAAGCTCGCCTAGGGTATGGCAACTCCAGATCTCGGTCCCCAGATGCTGGAAGTCACCTTCCCCTCCCCCACACTCTGCAGAGGCCCCAGGGCCGGCTGGGCCCTCGGGCCCCCTCCCAGGCTCCTGCCACCCGGGCTAAGGGGGTGGGAAGCCATTTCCAACCCGTGAGTCAGGGCAGTGATGCGAAGAGCAGGCGGGGCTGCCCCAGGGGGCTGACTCAGAGGGGCCCTCCTCCCAGTCTCCTGTGCAGAATCCAGGAGTCCCATAAAGCCCCAACTTAGAGGTGTCGGAGAGGTGGGGGGAGGCCCTGAGGGTCCCCCTGAGTCCCTCCCCAGCTGGACCAGCGTCTCTAAGGCCGCCTGCCCGGGAGGCCTGGCTTGGACCCAGCAGAGGCCCCTGGTACCCTGAGTGAGGCTGGGGGGAGGGGGGAGCTCACGTACCTCCTGGTTCTCCTGGCACAGTCCTAGGGGACCCCTCTAACGAAGAGCCTCTCTGCTCCTGCCCTAGGGCCCTCTCTTCAATGGTAGGGACCCCCCCCCCCCATTGCCTTAATCTGCAAGGGGTCCTGGCAGGGACTGGGTGCCAGATGGTAATGGTGCCCGGGGCGGAGCCTGGGGGGACCAGCGGGAGGTCAGTGTGGGGGGGGGGACCGGGATTGGTCAGAGGCGGGGGCGGGGGGGGGACGGTACAGAGGGTCCCTGGAAAGGTCAGGGCGGAGGCTGGGGTGGGGACCTACCCGGGTGGTGGTCGGGACGCTGCGGGGCCCTCGGCTCATCCTGGCAGCTGCTGCTGGCTGAGGGGTCCCCGGTTCCGTCCCAGGCCCAGCGAGCTCGTCCGTCCGGGGAGGCCTCTCACAGCAGGGCCGAGTGTGGGGGCACGGAGGGCGGGGTGGGAACGCCCGCACACCCAGCTCATCAGACCGGTTGCTTCCCGGGGAGACGTGTTTTGTGTGGAAAAATCCTGGGAGACAAGTTTGTGCGGCGCCGAGCGCACCTGGAGGCGCACGCACGCCCGGACACGGCCAGGCCCGCCCTCCGCGGGGGTCCAGCCGGTCTCCCTGGGCCCTGGCGGCCAGGCCTGGCCCAGGGCTGGGGCAGGTTCCGGGCGGAGGTCTGGCAGGCTTGTGAGGAGAGGCTTGGGTGGACGGGGCTCTGGTGGGGTCCCTGCCACGGGCGGGAGAGGGGTGCCGGTGGGGGTGGCCCCATTTTCAACACTCGGCAGGGCCCCGGGGCCAGTTCGGTGAAGCTCCTGCTCTCTTGGCAGGGAGGGGCCTGTGGAGCCCTGGTTACCATCTGTGGTGCTTCGGTGCCCAAAGCTGTAAGGAGCCCCCCTGAGGACATGTGACCCCCCCAACCATGGGACCTCGAGCCTCTGTGACTGGGATCTCCGGAGAGCCTGGGGTCACTTTTTCTAATTGCTGCAGGGCCAGTGGGACTGGCCATGGCCTGGACCTGCCCCCACTGCTCTCACCCCAGGCTGGAGCCCCTCCGACCCTGGACCAGCCCAGTTCGGTCCTCCGCTCCCCAGACCCAGGGTGTGGGGTGAGCACAGGGGGCGTGGTGGCTCCGGAGGAGGCAGGTCTGTGGCAGAGGGAGGAGGATTCACCCAGAAGCTTGGAGACAGCCCGTGCAGCCCACTGTGGGCCAGACTCCGTGGTCTGCATTTAACCCCTCCCTGGGCCTTTGATGCAGCATCAGGGCGCGAACCTGGAACCTGAGGGCCTGGAAGGGTGAGTGACTCTTACTGGGGAGGCGGAGGCTGGGGGCGCTGGGCAGGGGGAGCTCAGGGGAGGCCCGATGGGGGAAGGTTAGCCCTGACACCCCTTTATCCGACGGCAGAAAGGATGGGCTGGGGCGCCTACTAAAGTGGGGACTCCCAGCGACTGTCACACCGTCCCTGAAAGAGGAGTTGGGGAAAGAGAACGGGGAATGGGGGGCGGGGGGGGGGCGTATGAGAAGCCTCAGGGCCTAGAGCTGGAATGGGGTGGTGGAGGAGGACCCTAGAGCTGCTTGGTGACTTGAAGCTGGGGGAGGGGCACAGAGGGCAGCCTGCCCCTTCCCACGGTGGGGAGCCCGAAGGGGGTTGTTAGGAGCAGAGGTGGGGAGGAAAGCTTGAAGATATTAACAGCAAAATAATATTCAGAACAAAATTCAGGTGCGCGCAGGCGCACAGAGAAGCAGTGCAGGTGGGGGTGGGCTCAGCCTGCAGGTGGGGCGGGGTCGAGCTGCCGGACCGGGTTTGGGGCGCAGCTTGCCCTCCAGGCCCCCAGAGGTGCGGCATCTGCTGCCTCTGGGCCCCGACTCTGGGAATTCGGGCGCTTTGTGCCGCACCCACGCTCCCAAACCTTCCGGACTTCCCGCCTCCTTGTCGGTTTGGGCGCCCTCCAAGGCCAGCCCAGTCCCCGTCTTCTCCACGGAGCCTACCTGGATTTCGCCCCGGCCCCCCCTAACCTGCGGTGACCCTGGGTGGGGCCCCCTGACCTGGCATCCTCGGGGGGGGGCCCCCTCCTTCCACCTTGTGTCTTTGGTGTGGAAGGTACTTGAAAGGTACTGGCCCTAATAGGCCCCAGGTGGTACCTTCATCCACTCCCACCCCCACCCGCCCACCTGTCACTCATCCTGAGCACCGGCTCATCGCTGGGAAAGGTGTGCGTGACCGTGATAGACACAGCTTCTCACAGGAGCCCCGTTAGGGTCTGCGGTGAGGGGGGCGCGGAGGGGGGTACAGACAATGACCAAGCACAGTGGCCCACAAGCAGTGATGCCTGGCAAGACGGAGGGGCATCTGGGAGCCTCTGAGACCCTTTATCGGCTCAGGCAGAGGGAGGGGCTGGCGGAGGCCCCAGCAGGAACCCGCTTGGCCCGGGAGGACCCAGAATGGAATGGTGGCTGGAGCCGCGGCCGGGCCAGCACCGAGTAGGAGCAGCAGTGGAGTCCTGGGTGCTTTCCAGCAGGGGAGCGGCTGTTAGATTTGTGTTCAAAGGAGCACCAGCCTCGGTGAGGAGCGTGAACGAAGGGAAGCAGAGGCCAGTGGGGAGGGGTGGCCTGGCCCTGGGGGGGGCAGCGAGCTGGGAGATAGGCAGCTGGTGCCCTTCCCGGCAGGGTTTCTCCTTCTCTCCCCCTGGCACCGGAGGAGTGAAAGCCGATGCCACCTCCGGCAGAGTCCCGAGAAAACGGGTGATGAGGGTGCACGCGCTCGCTGGGTTCATGAGGACTGCCCAGCACCAGGCGGGTGTGGAAAACGTCGCACTCCGTCTAATCCTACGGGCACCCCAGGAGGCCAAGTGCAACCGCCTCCCTTTCCTTTTTTTCTAAATCCTCACCCGAGGATATCTTCCCATTGATTTTTACAAAGAGTGGAAAAGAGAGGGAAAGACAGAAACATTGATGTGAGAGAGACACAGCGATGGGTCGCCTCCTGCACATGCCCTGACCAGGGCCAGCCTGCAACTGAGGCATGTGCCCTTGACCCAATCGAACCCACGACCCTTCGGTCCACAGGCCGATGCTCTATCCACGGAGCCACACCAGCGAGGGCGCACTGATTTTTAGAGAGTGGAAGAGAGGATGTCCGAGGCCCTTCCCCTCCGGCCCCACCCAGAGGCTGCGAGGGGAAGGAGGCCAAGGGGACAGTGGTCTTGGAGGTGGAGGGAGGGGTCAGCGTGACCACTGCAGCTGCGGGCCAGAAAGGCCATCAGGAGCAGGGCCCGGGCCACCCACAGGCGCAGGGCTCTCGGCATCGCCGAGGCCACCTGTCCTCCCAAGAGAGCCAGGCAGAGGACCAGTCAGAACTAAAAAAAATATTTCATTTCATTCTGAATAAAAAATGGAACAGACGGAAATCCTGAAAACAATGGCATCGCTACAGCAAAATTTCACAGAAATCATCGCACAGAGTGTGGGGACGAGCTGCCCGACCTGCTCTGTCCAGGCAGCCCCCCTGGGGAGGGGCGCGAGCGGCTGCGGTCTGGGGGCGCCAGAGAGGGGCAGGCACGGGGGAGTGGGGCAGTGCCCTGTGGTGAGGCCCTGGGTCCCAGGAACCAGGCTCAGGACTGCAGCAGTGGCTGGGCGGGTGTCCTCCCTCAGGCTCCCTCCGCCTGGGAGCTCTTGTGGCCACGGCCACGGCCACGCGTGGCCCACATGCCCCGCCGGGAGTGGTAGTGGTGGTAGAAGTTCCTCAGGCGCAGCCGCTCCACCTCCAGCCCCGCCTGCAGGACCCTGGGTGGAGACGGGGGTCAGGGCTGGGGGCGGTCAGGGCTGTGCTGCGCGGCAGGACCCTGGGGTGGGGAGTGGTTTCGGGGCCGGGTGGGCACAGGCTCTCTGCAGGCGAGCAGGCCCTGGGTGAGGGAGGAAGATGGGAGGCCTGCCTCCACGAGGGTGGGGTCACCTGTCCAGGAGCTCCCAGTCCTCGCCGCCCCACTGGTCCCGGAACTCCTCCGTGTTCATGCCTCCGACGCGGTCGAAGTCCGACTTGTAGATCCCGAAGAGGCCGAAGCCGTTCACCTCCCAGTACCCTGGGCGGGAGGGTGCCCTTCAGACATCAGGCCTGGGAGGCCTCCCCAGACCTCAGGGGGCTCCCGGGTCACCCTTCCGTGCTGGTCATAACCTGGGAACCCTGCACACGCTGGAGTGCTGGGGGCTTGGGAGAGGCCCCCAGGTTTGAGCCGGGGATGGTGGGACTCGGCCATTACCGTGCGGGTCGGCGGGCGAGCTCCCGCAGCCCAGGCGCATGACCACGGGGGCGAAGGCCAGCCTGCCCTCCACGCAGTGCTTGCGGATGGCGTCCAGGATGTTGGGGGGGAAGTGGATGTGCAGGTCGCAGAGGAACACGATGCTGCTGGCGTCCTGGAGGCCGCGGGGGTCAGGGAGCTGCCCTGGGGGAAAGGCCAGTCCTCCCCTGCCCCCCCTCCAACTTCACGCACCTCCACCGCGTCCACTCCGGCCTGCAGCCCCGCCGAGCGCTCGAAGTTCCCGGCTCGCCTCAGGTACTGGTACCTGGGGGCAGGGGCAGGTTTAATTCCTGCGGCAGAAAACGCCACCTCCCCAGGAGGGGAGACCCGTGTGGAGTGTGCGTGGGGTGGGCGCGTTACCGGGGCAGCCGCGCCACGCGCAGGGCCCGCTCCACGTCCATGTCCTCGCTCTCGAAGTCCACCAGGACGACGCTGAAGCGCGAGTCCCCGGTGCGCGCGTGCAGCGCCGCCATGTCCGCCAGGAACTGGGCCACCCAGCGCGCCTGGTTCTTCACTGGGGGGCGAGGGGCCACCGAGCCAGCTGCACCCCCCGCCCCCGCGCGGTGCCCGCCCAGACCAGTGGCGCTCCCGCCCCTTCCCGCGAGGCCCCGGGAGCGCCCGCCGCACCTGGCACGATGAAGTGGACCATCACGTCCTGGCGCCAGGCCAGGCGCAGCGGCCGGCAGAGCTCGGGGCGGCCGTCGGGGCGCGCGGAGGCGGAGGCGGAGGCGGAGGCGGAGGCGGAGGGGGCGGCGGCCGCGGGCTCCGGACTCGCCTCGTCCCAGTCCGCGTCCCCGGCTCGGGCGCCCGGCAGCCGCAGGAACACGTACTCCGACAGGCGCCGGCGGCCGCCCCCGCGCTCCTGCAGCTCCAGCTCCAGCAGGAAGCGGCTCCCGCGCGCCGAGTCGCGGCGCTTCTCCACGTTCACGATCCGCAGGAGCGCGTAGTGCCTGCAGGCGGGGCCGGGTCAGCCCCGGCTGCCCTCCGCGTTGCGCCCCACCACACCTTGCACCCCGGGCAGTTCCCAGGAGGGGGCCCACACTGCCCCCCTCCCAGGGCAGCCCAGGCGATCTGTCCTCTCTTCTTTCCGACGCGCCCAGGACCCAGTGGCACCCACCACACACAGGACCGGTCCCTGTGTCTAACCGCGTCCTAGGACCGGAAGTGTCTCCAGCCCGAGGCCTCAGTACCCCCCACACTGCACCAGCCGAGGTCCCTTCCTATGGGGTCCTGGTCCTGGGGTGTCCTCATCCTCCCAGCTCCTCTGAGAAGCCGCCTTCGGCCTCCCTGGCCCCGGGGCAGGGCTGTCCTGGTCCAAGCCAGTGGGCCTGCCCCCAGCCCTTCCCCTTCGATCCTCCCTGCTGAGCCCCTTCCCTTCCCTCCACTCTGCCCCTCTTTAAAAAAATATATTCTTATTGATTTCAGAGATCAAGGGAGAGGGAGAGGGATAGGGAGAGGGAGAGGGAGAAACAGCAATGATGAGAATCATTGATCAGCTGCCTCTGCCTCCTGCACGCCTCCCACTGGGGAGGGAGCCCACAACCAGGCCTGTGCCCTGACCTGGAATTGACCCGGGACCTCCTGGTTCCTAGGTGGGGGCCGGGCACCCACTCTGCCTTCACACTCCCTGCCCCCTGCCTCTGGCAGAGGCTCCTCTGGTCCTGGGAAAGCAGGGCCCTAACCTTCGGCTACATGGGCCCTTTGCCAGCAGCGCCCCCACCCTGGGAGCTTGTGTGACTCCCCCTTCCACCCCTCCTATCTCCACCGCCATCTCCCTAAAAGCAGGGACGTTCTGCCCCAAATGCTCTGGGTCTGTCTGCACTCTCGTTCTTGGGGTCACAGCCATGACCCCTGTGTACTGAACAGACCCCCGTATGCCCGGGGGACCCCGAGCTGCTCTCAGGCTTAGAGCCGAGGGCAGGGTGTCCTCTCCGCCACCTAGAATCGGATCTCCCCACCTCCAGAGTCCAGGCCACCCATCACCGCCATGGTCACGGTCACAGCACGCCTGCCCGTCATGTCCCCGGGGGTCCCCTCCCGTCCACGGCAGCAACACGTCCGTCTTCAACCCGCACAGTCAAACTCCATCCTGCGCAAAGCCTGGCCTCACAGGCCAGAGGAACGAGTCCCCGAGGGGCTTTCAGGGCCCAGCACCAGGCCCTGCCCTCAGCCTGGGCACAACCCTGAGAGCCCCCATGCCTCCAGGAGGCCAAACCGGCCCGGCGCCTGGGTGAGACCCCAGAGGAGGCTGAGGCAGGAGCCCTGCGCCTTCCCTGGCGTGGGGGGGGGGGGGGGGGGCCCTGTTGGAAGGCCCAGCAGGACTGCGCCAGAGGCGGGGCTGGGCACTGAGCTTGGCCTTCGGGGTGTCTGCCTGGAGGAGGGGCCTGGGAGGCTCAGGGGGAGCTCTGGGTCCAGGGCCAGGGGAGGCCACCTCCAGACCAGCTCTGGGGAAGGTCCGGGGGCGCCAGGGGGCAGGGCTCCGCCGCCGCCCCTACCCGCTGTGGCGCGCGTTGAGCCGCTCCATGTACTGAGCCACCACGTCCACCGCCTCGGCCTCGGGCAGCTGCAGGTTCCCGGACACGTTGCAGCGCAGGTCGTTCCAGTCGGAGCGCAGCAGCTCGAAGTCCACGGCGCCCACGCTGAACGTGCGCTGCCAGTCAATGGCCTCCTCGCGCCAGCGGCCCGCCGCCGGGCCCGCCGCCTCCTCGCTGTCCTCCGAGGCGGCCTCGTCCTCCGGGGGCGCGTCCTCCTCCCCTTCCTCCTCCTCCTCCTCCTCCCCCCCAGGCAGCTGCGGCCGGGACGCCTGGGACACGCTCAGGAAGGAGGTGGCGGGCCGCGCCTCGGAGGACGCGTTCAGGTTCTCCGAGTTCTCCGTGGGGGCCCGGGGGCCCTCCCGGCTCCCAGGCGTGGCCGGCGCCCAGGCGGGGGGCTGGGGCTCTGGGGCCCGGGAGCCGCCGGTCCTGTGGCCTCGAGGCCGGGGTGGGCGGGGGGGCGCCCGCAGCCGCACCCCGGGCAGGGGTCGGGGGCGCAGGAAGAGGCCAGGGAAAGGCGGCCAGAGCCCCCCGCCTGCGCGGAGCGGCGCCAGGGCCCGAGCAGGCGCCCGTGGGCCCGGCCGCACCCGCGTCACGTAGACCTTTGGGGGCGGCTGCGCTGCGGCCGCGGAGCGTGGGGGCGGGGGGCGGCCCAGGAGGAGGGGCCGCGGGGGTGCGGCCCGGGGCGCCCAGCTGAGCGCCCGGGAGCGCCTGGAGGTGCGCTCCGGTTCCGGGCGGGGAGGCGTGGACGCGGCGGGGGTCGCTCGGGCCTCTGTGGGGGCCGCAGGGGTGGGGAGTCGGCGGCTGCTCTGTCTCGGGGCCCCCTCCGTGGGCTCCAGACTGTTGAGCAGCTCCCCCTCCTCCTCCTCCTCCTCCAGGAAGTCTGCGGAGAGTGGGCTTCAGCCTGACACCCCCACGGGGCGCCGGCGGGGCGGGGCGCTGGGGGACGCGCACAGGGACTCACCGTCGGGGTTGAGGAAGAGGAAGGCCCGGCGCTGCACCTGCTCGTCCTCCTCCCCCGCCTCCTCCCGGTCCATCTTCATGTACTTGTAGAACCCGAACCTGAGGGGCAGTGAGGGGCGGGCGAGGGGCAGGTGAGGGGCAGTGAGGCGCGGGCGAGGGGCAGGTGAGGGGCAGTGAGGGGCGGGCGAGGGGCA